TTGAGCAGTTTAAACAATACACACATGGGTCCAGCGACGCTTCCCATTGGACGAGCGAGAAATGCATTCTCCATGACTACGACGCAGCGTGCTATGGGGCGGGGCAACACTCTTGATTGGCAGATCGCTAAGGGTATGGCAAGCTATGAACGGAATTAATAAGAATATAGCAAACTTGGACGGTCAATCAATGTCTTCACAGTTACTGTTGAAACTTAGACCCGAACCTAGATATATTATAGTTTTATAAAAAACAAAACAAAAACAAAAAAACTATATATATAAATTTCAATTCTAAATGTGAAATTTCAATTCTAAATGTGAAACACTTAAAAATAATATTTTAATTCACTTTTGTTCTGCCCAAGGTTAGAAGTTGGAGGTATGTCTTAATAATTTAGTTTAAAAAGAAGAACTTTTACAGTATTGGTTTATCTGTATTTTATTTTGAAGGCGAATCTTGAGGAAGCATTGCATTGTGGGTAGCAGAGGCTGTAATAGTAAGGAAGTGGTGTTTACAGAGAGAAAAAACCTGCCTGTTACAGAGCAAACTTCGCCTCCTGTGTTGTCAATCTTTTCCAAAACCTCCGAAAGCAATGGCTGTGAGTTCAATCTGTGTTTTGTATGGCAGTAAATATTTTATTAGAGTTTATTTAGAGATCGTTTTTTTGCATATGTTTATTCCAGGAATTAGCCATATCCCAAAGGTTTTTCTTGTATAGTTGTAACTGCTGGAGTGACTGTTTCTTAGCAACAACTTAAGTTAATTCTAATTTATGTTTTATAATGCTGGAAGTTTGTTCTGTGCATTTAGAGCTGATGCACATTTATTTTCTGTTTCTGTTTGTAGTTTCACTCAAAGCTTTCATCGAGCTTCCCACACAATTGTTCAAAATTGTAAGAAGACCGTAATAAAGGAGCAAGACGCTCATCTTCCTGGCTCATGAAAACTGAGTTTGGCTTGCTGTTAATCTGCGTTAACATACACAGTGTATCCAACACGTAGTGATAACAGTACAGTGAAAAGCCATACCAGCAGTTGGTGGAGGATAAAACATATGACACAGCGATGGATAACGCTCATGAGGAAAAGGCAGAAGAAATGTCTAACTTTGAAGCTAAAGCATCATCGAAAGCTAGCTCAAGATCCAGACACTCTAGCTCTAAGCATTCATCCCACAAGTCGTCCTCAAAGTCCAGCGTATTTGAAGCAGCCATTTTTGCACGAGCCGCTGCCGAAGCCAAAAATGCAAAAGCTTCCTACAATAAAAAACAAATAGAAATTAAAAAGCAACAAGCAAATCTAGAGTATGATTTTAAAATGCTGGAAATAGAAAAGGAAGCCGCAGCTGCTACGGCAAGAGCAGAGGTTCTAGAAGCTGCCGCAGCTGCTGAACAAGATAAGGAGGAGAGTGTAAAGAGTGGAGTCCCACCACAAGTCGTCAGACAACGAACCATGGAGTACGTGCAACACCAAGAACAGCTAAAATCACATTCATCAAAGGAAGAAATGCCTCTCGTCGAATCAGCATTAAAAACATCATCAGTCGGCCCAAGAAGATCTGTTAAAACTCTCTCTCCACCGGTGCTCAAGAAAATGTATGTAAAAGATGAACCGTTTGACACGCCAAGAGACAATGTCAGGCTAAACAGTTACCATGATCCCCACCACAGTTACCCACCTATGACTGACTTTGCTAAGTTCCTAGCACGTAGAGAGTTAATTACAACGGGGCTCTCTAAATTCGATGACACCCCTGAAAATTTTAGAGCATGGCAGTCATCATTTTTGAATGCAACTCAAGACATTGACCTCACATGTAGTCAAGAGCTGGATCTCCTCGTGAAATGGCTTGGTAAAGAGTCCTCAGAGCATGTCAAGAGAATCAGAGCCGTTTATACCACCAACCCCAAAGCTGCCCTCCAGTTAGCATGGGACAGGTTAGAAGAATGTTATGCTACACCAGAAGTAGTAGAAAATGCTTTGTTTAAAAAACTAGACAGCTTCCCTCGCCTTACAAATAGAGACAATATAAAACTCAGGGAACTAGGAGATTTGCTCCTAGAGCTTCAGGTTGCTAAAAACGAAACTTATCTCCCAGGCCTCGCTTACCTCGACACACCACGAGGTGTTAAGCCCATAGCGGAAAGGCTACCTCCAAGTTTGCAAGATAAATGGCTTCAAGCAGGCTCAAAATACAAACAAAAATATCAAGTAACATTCCCGCCCTTCTCATATTTTGTGAAGTTTGTCCAAGAGGAAGCAAAAGCAAGAAATGATCCAAGTTTTGTGACATGCAGCAACCAACCTTTCAACAGAGGTGAGAGACCACCATTTAAACAAATCGGCTACAAACCTCTAACTGTAAACAGAACAGAGGTTAATACAACCACTCTTCCTAGTACCAAAGAGGACGATCTAACTCGTTATTGCCCAGTCCACAGGAAATCCCATCCTCTAGCGAAATGCAGAGCTTTCCGGATCAAACCAATACAAGAAAGACGAAACATACTAAAAGAACACAGACGATGTTTTCGTTGTTGTTCTCCTACGCACACAATAAAGGACTGTGATATGAAAGTCAGTTGTGAGGAGTGTCAAAGTGAAAAACACTGCTCTGCCATGCACTTTGATGTGGTTCAACAACCCCGGCCAGAAAGCACAGCTGAAGCAGAGCTACAGCTCCAAGATAGCACGCCACCCGAGGTAACGTCACGGTGCACGGAGATCTGTGGTGAAGGCTGTCCCCCACGTTCTTGCTCTAAGGTATGTCTAGTTCGAGTTTTCCCTAAGGGTCAACCAGAACGCTCTGTCAAGATGTATGTGATCCTTGACGATCAGAGTAATTGCTCGCTGGCTCGCCCCGAATTCTTTGAGCTATTTGACATCAAGGGAAGTCATCTGACATACCACATGAGAACGTGTGCTGGTTTAACTGAAATGTGTGGCAGGAAAGCAGTTGGGTTCCAAATAGAGCCAGTAGGTGGAGGCCCATGTCTAGACCTCCCTCCTCTCATTGAATGTGACGAGATAGTGTTTAATAGGGATGAAATACCTACGCCCGAAGTTGCTCTGGCCCACGCTCATCTGAAACACCTCGCTCCTCTCATACCAAAGTATGATCCAGATGCTGAGATAGCAGTTTTACTGGGCAGAGACATCATACAAGTCCACAAAGCAAGAAAACAAGTAAATGGACCCCCAAGTGCTCCCTTTGCCCAGTGCCTGGATCTAGGTTGGGTAATTGTGGGGGAAGTATGTCTCAACGCTCATAAGCCAACTGTCAACGTCTACAAAACACACATTCTCTCCAACGGACGTCCATCTTTCTTTACTCCTTGTCCTAACAGCATCAGCCTCAAAGAAAAACCATGCTACGGCGGGGAGCACAAGAATAACTTCGCTAAACACAGCTCAAAACTTCACACAGCTGAAGAAAAGCTTGCAGAGAAGGTTTTTGAGCGCACAGAGAACGATAACCAGCGTGCACTATCCTTTGAAGATGAGATGTTCCTAAAAATAATGGAAAAGGAAGTTCATCAGGATGAAAACAACAACTGGGTTGCTCCTTTACCTTTCAAGTCCCCTCGTTTGCCACTTCCAAACAACAGAGATCAAGCACTGTCTAGACTTGGCTCACTGAGACGCAACCTAAACAAAAAACCCCAAATGAAAGAACAGTTCTCAGAGTTTATGGACAAGCTGTTCGAGAACCATCATGCAGAGATCGCTCCACCCACCATCAACAACACTGAATGCTGGTACCTGCCTATTTTTGGGGTATACCATCCCCAGAAGCCCGGTCAGATACGGGTAGTTTTTGACTCTAGTGCAGAACAGTGTGGTGTGTCACTCAACTCTGTACTGCTAACGGGCCCAGACCTTAATAATACCCTCCTTGGTGTGCTGATTCGGTTTAGGAAGGAGCTCATTGCAGCTACTGCTGACATCCAGCAAATGTTTTACGGATTTCTAGTCTCACCAGACCACAGAGATTATTTGAGGTTTTTGTGGCATAAGGACAATGACTTGTCAAAGGAGGTCCAGGAGTACCGTATGCGGGTGCATGTTTTTGGCAACAGCCCGTCACCAGCGGTAGCCATCTATTGCCTACGAAGAGCCATTCAGAAAGGCGAGAAAAAGTTTGGAACAGATACGAGACACTTCGTTGAGAGACACTTTTACGTAGATGATGGATTGATTTCACTTCCCACCGAAGCAGCAGCCATCGATCTGCTCAAGCGGACATGTGAATCCTTGGCTGAGTCCAATCTCAAGCTCCACAAAATCGCCTCCAACAGTGTCTCAGTCATGCAAGCCTTCAAATCAGAAGATCTGGCCTCTGGCATCAAAGACTTGAGTCTTGGTGATGTCCCTTTACCAGATCAGAGAAGCCTAGGAATGTGCTGGGACATAAACACTGACTCATTTACATTCAAGGTAGCTGTTAATGACAAACCCTACACTCGCCGTGGGGTTCTCTCAGTAATCAACAGTATCTTTGACCCTTTGGGACTTGCATCTCCAGTCACAATAAAAGGTAGACTTTTGTTACGTGAACTCTCAAATGGAGTTGAAAACTGGGATGCTCCTCTCCCTGCAGAAAAAATGGACACATGGGAAACATGGAAATTATCCCTCCAAGATCTGAGCAGCCTCAGAGTGCCACGCTGCTATGTTCCAGCCTCACTTTCCAAGTCCATCTACACTGAATTGTGTGTTTTCTGTGACGCTTCAAGTTGGGCTATTGCAGCAGTAGCATACTTGAAAACAGTAAATGCAGAGGGAAAGTGTGAGGTCGGATTTGTGCTTGGAAAGGCAAAACTTTCACCACAGCCAGAACCTACAATACCTCGCCTGGAACTCTGTGGAGCAGTTCTAGGAGTAGAGATAGCAGACCTCGTTCTGGAAGAACTTGACCATAAACCAAACGCTGTTAAATTCTACAGTGACACCAAGGTGGTTCTCGGCTATGTGTGCAATGATGCGAAGCGCTTCTATGTCTACGTGCATAATCGAGTTCAAAGAATACGCCAGTCTACATCCCCTGAACAGTGGCATTATGTTCCATCAGAGCAGAACCCAGCCGATCTAGCTACCAGGTCAATACCTGCACCCCAGCTCATGGACACAATGTGGTTTAAAGGACCAGACTTCCTTTACAAACTACCTGAAACAGAAATACGTGAGTCATTCGAGTTGGTGAAACCTGAAGTGGATGCTGAAATCCGACAAGTTGCAACCTTCACCACGCAGGTCCAAAAGAGTGGACTCACACCAGAACGCTTCCAACGCTTCTCGAAATGGAAATCACTGGTACGAGCCATTGCCTACTTAATTCACCAAGCTCGTTCTCACTCTTCAAGCAACAAATCAAACCCTTCATGCAGAGGTTGGCATGAATGTAGACAGCTGCACTCTCCAAAGGAGCTGAATGCTGCCAGTAATCTCATTCTCCAGTCTGTACAGAAGGATGCTTTTCCTGACGAGTATGCTTCTCTCCAAGCCAATCAAACTGTCCACAGCTCAAGCTCCATCGCAGCTCTTGACCCCTATATGGATGAAGGCCTAATAAAAGTTGGAGGCCGCCTCAAACATGCTTCATTGGATGCAATATTCAAAAATCCAATCATTCTGCCAAGCAAACATCATGTGTCAAAGTTGCTTGTCCTGCACTATCATGCCATGGTTGTGCATCAAGGAAGGCAGTTTACAGAAAGTGCAGTTAGGCAAGCCGGTCTGTGGATTGTAGGATGCAAAAGACTGGTCTCGTCTGTTATCCACCATTGCATAACCTGCAAGAAACTCCGGGGAAAATTAGAGACTCAAAAGATGGCGGATCTTCCACCAGAGAGACTCAACACTAGCCCTCCATTTTCATATGTTGGGTTAGACGTGTTCGGCCCCTGGTCAGTCGTCACTCGACGCACACGAGGAGGAGCAGCACAAAGTAAGAGGTGGGCAATACTTTTTACGTGTATGACCACAAGAGGTGTACATATTGAAGTTATTGAATCTCTGGACACCTGCAGCTGCATAAACGCGATACGCAGATTCTTTGCAATAAGAGGTCCAGCAAAACAAATGCGATCGGACAGGGGCACCAACTTTATTGCAGCAAGTGTGGAGCTCGGTATGACACAACCAAGCATAAACCCTCCCAACATTGTCCACTATCTTCATGCTAACGGTTGTACGTGGGAGTTCAATCCCCCTCATGCCTCCCACATGGGTGGCGTCTGGGAAAGGATGATCGGGGTAACTCGCAGACTACTGGATTCCATGCTCCTGCTGAACAAACACAGCCGTCTGACACATGAAGTGCTTTGTACCCTAATGGCTGAGGTGTCATCTATACTCAATGCAAGACCATTGGTTCCTATCACAACGGATCCTTCCTCACCATTCCTACTATGTCCTGCAATGATATTGACCCAGAAGCAGAGCGTTCCTTCTTCACCTGGAGAATTCTGTGGAAAAGACATGCTCAAAAGCCAATGGAAGCAAGTGCAGGCACTCGCCAACGAGTTTTGGAGTCGCTGGAGGAACGAATATCTAAACACTCTCCAATCAAGACGCAAGTGGCATAGATCGCACCGTGACCTTCAGCCAGGCGACATTGTGTTGTTAAAGCAAAATCAAGCACACAGAAACGAATGGACAATGGCCATCATCACATCCACTTTTCCAAGCAGTGATGGAAAAGTCAGAAAGGTGGAAGTAAGGACATCATCTCAGGGCGTTTCTAAGACTTATTTGCGTCCCATCTCAGATGTTGTTATGCTCTTAGAAGCGGAAGTGACTGATAAAAAGTAGTGGCATCTGTAATGCCAGGCGGGGAGTGTTCTGCCCAAGGTTAGAAGTTGGAGGTATGTCTTAATAATTTAGTTTAAAAAGAAGAACTTTTACAGTATTGGTTTATCTGTATTTTATTTTGAAGGCGAATCTTGAGGAAGCATTGCATTGTGGGTAGCAGAGGCTGTAATAGTAAGGAAGTGGTGTTTACAGAGAGAAAAAACCTGCCTGTTACAGAGCAAACTTCGCCTCCTGTGTTGTCAATCTTTTCCAAAACCTCCGAAAGCAATGGCTGTGAGTTCAATCTGTGTTTTGTATGGCAGTAAATATTTTATTAGAGTTTATTTAGAGATCGTTTTTTTGCATATGTTTATTCCAGGAATTAGCCATATCCCAAAGGTTTTTCTTGTATAGTTGTAACTGCTGGAGTGACTGTTTCTTAGCAACAACTTAAGTTAATTCTAATTTATGTTTTATAATGCTGGAAGTTTGTTCTGTGCATTTAGAGCTGATGCACATTTATTTTCTGTTTCTGTTTGTAGTTTCACTCAAAGCTTTCATCGAGCTTCCCACACAATTGTTCAAAATTGTAAGAAGACCGTAATAAAGGAGCAAGACGCTCATCTTCCTGGCTCATGAAAACTGAGTTTGGCTTGCTGTTAATCTGCGTTAACATACACAGTGTATCCAACACGTAGTGATAACAGTACAACTTTTATTTAAGTGTCTTATCTGTTTGTTTTGTTGACTTACAGCTTATGAAAACCAAAACCATTGCTGTTTCAATTAGAAAAAGTTATAACAAAGAAATGTCAAATGGGATCCCCTTTTGGACAAATTACTGTATGATTGTGGAGTGCCTTGAAGGTGATCAGCTTTTTTGCTTGGTTCTTTAAAAAACAACAACCTTCTGCTCAGCTGAATTGGATAAGTATCACAGATTTTCATTCTTCTATTCTTATTGGTCAGCCCATTTTTCAGACCTCAAATAATCTTAATCACGAGATACATTTCTGATAGCTCATCACATTTTCCAAGATATTTCCTTTTTTTGTGCAATCTATTCAGAAGTATTTTTTTTTAATAAAGTGAACATTGTAAGACATTCACCATGAATACTGTATGGTTAAAAAAGCTAATTTTTTTAATGATTGAATTTCAAGAATAAAATGTAATGCTTAATCCTAACTTTGTTTTTTGGCTTCCAGGTTTTAAACTTCGGTTTCAAAAAACTTGAAAACACTGAAAGAAGCTTCCACATTTCATAACAATGGACAGACATACTAACAAAATACACACACACAAAAAAAACAATCAGTGGTTAGGAGGTTCAAAAAGACTCAATCTGTATCACCTCACAGGGCTGTACTCTAACCACAACAGGATAGCCAGGGTAAAATCCACAACTGATTAAAGTTTTCCACTGTTTGACAGCTACACGTTTCTTTGTAAGTAAATACCACACAGATTTGCTGAAATCCACTTACGGCCAATCTGGGGAATTAAAGCTGTTTGTAACATGAAATGTTCCCTTTGCTTATGGTTGGACGTTTTTTTTTTGTTTTTATATATCTACTTTCCCCATTATAGTGATAACAGGGGAATACTGTGGGATACGTTTGTTTCTCTACAAGAAACAGAACAGAAATCTTAATTTTGTTGCATTCTGGATCAGTACTAAATGCTAAAACAAGGAAAAATGTAAAACTATTTAAGTGCCTGCAGGGGGCATTGCAGTTGGGAAATAGCCAGTATAATTAAAAGCATTACAAAAAACAGTAAGTCTTAAATTGTTAAAGGTTTTCTAGCCTAGTATTAGTAAAGAGTCTGGTATTCTTTCAGATTTATGCTTTCATTATGCAGTGGTACCATAACTAGGAGTTTTAATTCAGTATTTGAACTGCATGTCCTCATATGGTACAGTCAATCACTTCTTTTAATCAGAAAAAGCTTAAAGCAACTCTTTTGCTGCTAATATATGTATAAAATGTGCAACTATAACCATAAATGTAATGATAGCATTTTAAATAGTTTAAAAATATACCCTAACAGGACATTATTGATTATTTTGGTTGCCTTTAAATGTTTTTTTTTTTGATAATCTGCCCCCTGTGTTGGGATTTATAACCACAAATTGAATGTAATGTGAAATCCTAACTTATTTTTAATTTAACAGTCTTTTTTTAGTGTATTCAAGCTGTACCAAAAGCAAAGGTGGAAAAGGGTTTATTTGATTTCGAGTTATATTTATAAAATGCAATGCAAGATTACATACATGTAAAATTTACAGAAAATAAAAATAAAGAGCAGAAATGCCAGCCAAAACAGAAACCCTCCTGACAATTGAAAGTCTTTATAGAGCCGACAAATGATGCCTATTTCAGTACCACTAAAAGCCTAACTTTAAACATGATCTTTAATTACTTAGAGAACAAATGTCTGAGTTTTTAATTGTATTACCAACATCACATCATATGACTGTGCTTTACAGCTTTAAACGTCTTGGAAAGCAAAATTATACATAGATACAGCAAAAACTATACACTTGAAGTGACACAACTTGCAACACCATCTATTGCAATTGATCTTCGCTGATACTAATCAGCATATCTGAGACATGGAGAAGTTAGGGCTGAAGTTCCAGTCAAACATTGATCGTGCGGACTCAAACTTTTCAATGAGTTCGGTGAACGAAGGCCGACTATCAGGATTGGCATGCCAACACTGATCCATCAGCAACTTTATCTGTAAAAGGGCAAAGAAAATGTGAAAATTCTGAGCCATCCTTAAAAAAACATTGCATTTTTAAAAGAAATACCATATAATGATCTATATGGAGGTTTTTCTCAATATAATACATTTAGTTTAGAGAGGCTAATTCATTTAAGAATAAGAGAGAGAAAAAAGTCTAGATTCTACATTTTGATATTTTTTTAGTACTCCATCATCTTTTACCTTGGTTGCTTAACAGCAGACACAAGCGTTAAGCTGTGAAATATAAGAGCTATTTTAACTGTCAAAAAGCAAACTTCTTTAATTTAAAAAATTTTTTTATAACTTTGCAAGGAAGTTTTTTTTCTTTTAAATCATATCTTCAGCTTCCTAGTATCGAATCCTAAATAAAATATGGTTCATTGATTTTCTTGGATAACCTGAATTGTAACCAAGGGTCTGTGCAAACTAACACAATAAAACAAGACTTAAACATAAACTACTCTGATGTTCCAATAACGTCTCAAAGCCGATTAGGCTGTTCATAGAAACACAATGAACGCTGAGCTGCAGGCTAAGCTTTGTGCTTGACCTCATTTAATAATTCTCAGTTGTCAAATTTATTCATTTTATCAAAGGACACTCGCAGAAACCCTTATAACAACTTTAATAATGGGTGGACAATGCATTGTACTGGACAGAAACTTAACATGCTGCAGTTTCATTTATGCCAACTTCTATGATGATTTGGGACAAAAATGTACTAATATTCATAACAATGTAGAATTGTGTATATTTTACACGATACGTAATTCTAATATTGTTGCACCTTTGTAATATGATCTTTATTAGGGGCTAATTAATGTTAGTGTAATTTAATGTGATTCTTGGTTCTATAGCCCGGATTTTAGCAAAAGTTAAATCTAATTTTAGTTTTAAGGACTTTGAAGGACTTATCCATGCCTTCATTATGTCTCGTTTGTATTATTGCAATAATTATAAAGAAGCATGGATAAACCATAGATGCACCTACAAATGATCCAGAACGCAGCAGCATGGCTTCTTAAAGGAACCAGGAAGCATGACCATATAAGGCCTATACTGGCTTCTTTACACTGGCTCCCTCTCCTTTATCAAATAGATTTTAGGATTCTTTTATTAACTTATAAAGTTTTACATGGGCTAGCTTCCCCTTATCTTCAGGACCTTTTAAAGTCTGTGTCCAGAACCCTACGAACAAATAACCAGATACCATTGACAGTTCCTCGGATTCGACTTAAAAGAAAATGAGATCAGGCCTTTGCTGTTGTTACTCCTATTCTATGGAACAATTTACCTTTCCTAATTAAATCTGCCTACAGCCTGGATCAATTTAAATCGCTTCTTGAAACTCATTCTTATACCTTTGCATTTATTTGAAGCAGTGTTTCAATACTCTGCTTTTGTTAACTTGTGTTATTGTCTTTCTTGTACAGCACTTTGGTGCAGTTTTACACCTGTTTAAATAAATCTGACATTGACATAATATTACCGCATCTGGGCAATCCTTAGGACGAGGCAACCTCTGATTTCCCTCCAAAAGCTTTATGAGTTTCATCACAGTCATTTGTTCTTCATTGTCTCCAGTCATTTCAATGAATTTCTACAAAGAAAAAAAAAACAATCAAAAAATACATGCACACAGGAAATAAACATGTTTTTCAGACCAAAGTTCCAATATTTTTGCGACAGTTTTTGTATCTGGGTCATAACATACAGATGGAGGACTCTGGCGGGGGTCACAACGCGTCAGGATCTCATAAAGAGTAACTCCAAATGACCAAATGTCAGATGCAAATGAGAATTTGAGCTCCTTTAAGCACTCAATGGCATACCTAAGAAGTTTCAAACACGAAAAAGTAAGTGCTTGAAAAAACATAGAAAATGTTTCACATTAAAACTGTTTGGATACCGACCAGTAGACAGGGCTGTCTCCGTCCTCACGGACCCGATAATAGATCTCTCCTTCCGGGATGTACTTTGTCAGGCCAAAGTCTCCAATCTTCACCAAACTTTGGTTTTCCACCAAAACATTGCGAGCAGCAAGATCTCGATGCACATAGCGCTGTGAGTGCAGGTACTCCATCCCCTTCAAAAGAGAGCAACGCAATATTGAGGAATATTGTTGCAATTACAGTTGGACTAATTGGCACATCAGTAAATTATCATTTTGTTTTGAAAATAGCTGTCAGTGAAGATCAATTTTTAAGTTTAGTCACTAATTCCTAATTGGATTCTGAATCTGGACTTTCCTACCTTCAAGTACATCAATATGCTTGGATCTAAGACTTCATTCTGATCTATTCTAGCTCTGTCAGCATGTTAAAGTTATAATGGAGGATGATCTTTTTCCGTATGGATCATTAGTTTCCCATTTTCACTTACCGGTGGTGATTTTTATTTTGGGGAAAAATTGCAAACCGTAAGCTTGTATGAGCGATGCAAACAGCAACTTTTAAACTAGGCTTGTCCCGATCCGATCCACGTATCGGATCGGGACGCCGATATTGGCAAAAAAATGCGTATCGGCAAAGCATGTAAAATGCCGATCCAGACTGCCGATCCAGTTTAAAAAAAAAAATCTGGTCCGTATTTTCCAGTTTCGCCGATTGAAACGATCCATTCCACTATTTTGCGCCAGTGTTCCCGTTTTGCATTTTTATTAAAACTTACAGTAATATAGCACCTTTAACTGTTTACGGTTTTACTGCTCACTGTGCAATTTCAGATTGCTATTCATAATTTTGTCCAGTTTGTGTTTATCTCTTAATAAACAGGTAAGTTTGTTGTTACCAATCATTGTGTTTTATTCAATCTCACCTAATTCAGCTGGCTAGATGTTATCAAGAGTACTAAAACCCTTTTCAACATGAGTCTTACAACTAAGGCTAAATACTTTAACTTAAACTTAAATACATGCTCGGATAGGCTGGTATCGGCCAGTATTGGTATCGGA